CCTGAGGTTCGTAACTGGAGCCCCCAGGAGACATGTAGTGTGTCAAGGTTCTCTCTCTCTCTCTCTCTAAGACCACATCAGGCGGCGGTGACACAGCCTTCACCAACCACCGCCACAGAAAAATAAATATCGTGGGGTTCTCTCATTCACTTGACCTTAGTTCGAGTCGTCTTTGTCTCGTTGAAAGACGCGCGGTCTCGTTCACAACTTTTGCTCTCGGAAGAAACTCGAGGACGTCAGTTCCTCTTGAATCTGTGTGTATCGCCGACACCTTCTATGGTGTTGCTGTAGCCTGTAGCGCCAGCGTGGAGCTCCCTCCCGCCTGATGCAGTTTTCAGCTGTCCTGAAAATCCTTTCGTCTCCTACTTCGAAGCTGTCCTTAATTCCTTTGGTCTCCTGCAGCGTATGTGGCGACAGCTCACTGGTAGCAGCTGATATTACCTCATTTTCCGATAGTACGCAGCTCAATTAGCCAATCTGTCTCTACAGGCTTTTGCAGGAACTATGTTTAGCTTATAAATCGTATTTTGATGGTGACTCTTGTTGTTGTATGTGCTGGGAAACGAGCGTATAGCAAGATCGACTAAGTCAAGCGTTGGTCCAGTTTAAATAGTTCTTGCGATGTATTTGCGATTACAGTAATTAAAAATAATACAAAAGGAAATATTTATGAGTAAATAACCCTTTCTGTGTCTCTCTCTTCTACAGACGGGGACCCCGCGGTGGCTCTGGAGGTGCGCCCCCCACCGCCCCCGCCCCCTCCAAAGCCGGTGAGGAAGCCTCCGTCCTGGACGTCAGGAGGGCGCAAGGAGGGCGAAGGACAGTCGGCGGAGGACGGAGGGATAGTAGTTATGATGAGTCAACGCCACATGGACGCGCCCAGACGCGACCCCCACAGCGCCGTCCCCTCCACCAGCGTCATACTCGGTGGGTGGGGAGAGGGGGGCGGAGGTGGTCAAAAGGGAAGGGGGAGGGTTTGAGGGGGGGGGGGGTTGGGGAAGAGGGGGGGTTGGGTATGAGGGGAAGAGGGGGGGGGTTGTGAACTAAAGGAACTATCAGGGGGAAAGCGCCAAGTCATTACGACTATATATAGCACTTGGAAGGGGTCAGGATAAGGATTTGGGATGGGATGGGGGGGGGAAGGAATGGTGCCCAACCACTTGGACGGTCGGGGATTGAACGCCGACCTGCATGAAGCGAGACCGTCGCTCTACCGTCCAGCCCAAGTGGCTGGGTAGGGGGGGGGGGTTGTGAGGGGTTGTCAATTGGAGGTGAATGAAACTGCGAGAACAGAAATGAGCTTTAACAGAGGGCTAAAATAAGCTTTAACTTTTGACCATGTCGTAGCTCAGTCGATTCAGGCAGCGGATGCTCTCGGACGCAGGTTCGAATCCTCGTCACGGCCCTTGTGGATTTCTTCAGCTTTAACGAGGGTTAAAGGACGGTGAAGTGGAGACTGTCATATAGTGAGGTTATCTTGAGGTTATCTTGAGATGATTTCGGGGCTTTAGTGTCCGGTCCTCGACCAGGCCTCCACCCTCAGGAAGCAGCCCGTGACAGCTGACTAACACCCAGGTACCTATTTTACTACTAGGTAACAGGGGCATAGGGTGACAGAAACTTTTGCCCATTGTTTCTCGCCGGCGCCCGGGATCGACCCCGGGACCACAGGATCACAAGTCCAGCGTGCTGTCCGCTCGGCCGACCGGCTCCCGAGAGTGAGAGGAGAGACTCCCGGAAAAAAAATAATAATCGTTGGGGCAAGCTACAGTTACGTGACAATGTGTGTGTGGACGCAGCCCCACCAAACACACCGAAACTACGACGTTGGTACAACGTTCGAGCAAGTTTTAACACCACCTAACCAGTTATAACAACCAATATAGCAAGTTGTAACAACGTTCTAATACGTCATAAACACGTTAAGCCAAGATGTAACAACTTTATTTCAAGTTGTAACAAGCGGAAAATAGAGACAGTTTCGGTTTGTGTTTCCAGGAGCCCGTCCTCCTAAGGTTTACCAACGTCTTGAAATTGTCGTGTTAAAGTGCCCTTATCCTAACCTACCACTTAAGGACCTGAAATGTCAATTTCGCGACCGGCCTCCATTTTCTAATACGACGATTTTTGACCCTTAGGTAAAGCATACGTCAAAATGCGACGTTCTAGTTAGGAGGACGGGTCGGTGGAGGAGCTCATGATGTGGTTGAAATGTTAGAGATGAGGGCATAAATATTAAGAGCTGTCAGAATGATGACCAGACCACACACTAGAAGGTGAAGGGACGACGACGTTTCGGCCCGTCCTGGACCATTCTCAAGTCGATTGTGGTCCAGGACGGACCGAAACGTCGTCGTCCCTTCACCTTCTAGTGTGTGGTCTGGTCATCATACTGTAGCCACATTATTGTGACTCATCGCCTACAGCTGTCAAAAGTCAAAATGATGCACAATGTTGTTTATGCACAAAGCCTCACACCTCTCAATGTGTACAGGAACAATGTTCAAGTGGAACAAAAATTGTCCCCCCTCCCCCCCCCCCGTCTCCCCTTTTGCTGTACATGTAGAAGTTGTCCACAATGTTAGTTGAGCTGTTTGTAGCAAGAAGTCGCATTGTAGTCGGATCAGCCGGGCTGTGGTGGGTATGTGGGCCTGCGGGCCGCCGCTCCAAGCAGCAGCCTGGTGGACCAAACTCTCACAAGTCGAGCCTGGCCTCGGGCCGGGCTTGGGGAGTAGAAGAACTCCCAGAACCCCATCAACCAGGTATATGTGGGCCTACGGGCCGCTCCAAGCAACAGCCTGGTGGACCAAACTCTCACAAGTCGAGCCTGGCCTCGGGCCGGGCTTGGAGAGTAGAAGAACTCCCAGAACCCCATCAAGCAGGTATCAAACATAGAGATGCTCCCGGCTGGAGCATATTACACAGCAAGCAAGAACTCTTCATCATTTAACGGGAGAACAACAGAGAAGTCAAGGCAAACAACGCCAGTGAATCAGAGGAATGCGTCAGTAACTGACTCGCCGTTAATTCGTCAAGCTCCGGAAACAGGCAGTAACCGGAGGCTAGATTCATGAAGCAGTTACGCAAACACTTACGAACCTGAACATCTTTTCTCAATCTTTGGCGGCTTTGTTTACAATTATTAAACAGTTAATGAGCTCCGAAACACCAGCAGGCTGTTTATAACAATAACAACAGTTAATTGGCAAGTTTTCATGCTTGTAAACTGTTTAATAAATGTAACCAAAGCCGTCAAAGATTGAGGAAAGATGTACACGTTCGTAAGTACTTGCGTAACTGGTTCGTGAATCTGGTCCCAGATCGTTGGCAGTTATGGAGTAACGGTGAGAGGAGTGGATGCTGAGAGTTCAACAACATGAACATAATGTTATTTTCAAAGATTTGTGGTTAGAAATAAGAAAAGGGGAGGAAATTATCAGAGGAAAGCGCCAAGCCATTACGACTATACAGCACTTGGAAGAGGGTCAAGATAAGGATTTGGGATGGGACGGGGAGGCAAAGGAACAGTGCCCAACCACTTAGAAAGTCGAGGATTGAACCCTGACCTGCATGAACGGAGACCGTCGCTCTACCGACCAGCCCAAAACCAAAACCCATTCTCCGCCAAAACCTTCGACGGAGAACTGAATCTTTGAGGAGAAATTAAATATTCCGGTTAAGTCAAAGTCAAGATACAGTGTCTGGGAACATTACAGGACTGGAAGTGTGTGTGTTACAGAAGTGTGTCAGGTCAAGTGATACTTAAACTTAAAAATACTCTTTACTTAACTTATACTTATAAATATAAGTATATATTTACTCTATACTTAATATTTATATACTTAAAAATAAAAGTGTCAACAATAATATGAAATTCCAGATGACTTAACATCACCAATATAAAATTTCTCCCCCCCCAACCCACTCCTATCCTCTTCCATGGCCACCCCACAACCCGACCCCATTCATAAGCAACCCCCGCCCCATTCATAAGCAACCCCCACCCCATTCATAAGCAACCCTCACCCCATTCATAAGCAACCCCCGCCCCATTCATAAGCAACCCCCACCCCATTCATAAGCAACCCTCACCCCATTCATAAGCAACCCCCACCCCATTCATAAGCAACCCCCCCCATTCATAAGCCACCCCACCCCATTCATAAGCAACCCCCACCCCATTCATAAGCAACCCCCACCCCATTCATAAGCAACCCCCACCCCATTCATAAGCAACCCCCACCCCATTCATAAGCAACCGCCACCCCATTCATAAGCAACCGCCACCCCATTCATAAGCCACCGCCACCCCATGCACAAGCCACCGCCACCCCATGCACAAGCCACCGCCACCCCATGCACAAGCCACCGCCACCTCCCCTCTGCCACCCACACACTTTGAACTCTCGGAGTCAATGTTTGGGTCCGTCAGCTGATTGGCGAGAGTTGCCAAACGAGCATTTAATGGCGTTTCTCGGTTGCCATGGAGATGTTTGAGGTACTCTATACCTCTTTCTCAGTATTTAGTACCTCCTCCTCCTCCTCCTCCTCCTCCTGCCCTTGTTCAGTGTCTGGTGACGTCTCTGTCTCCTCACCTTGTAGCTTGAAGCTGTTATTCTTTCATAAATAGTGGGGGGGGGGGGCAGACGAATTAAGGAGCATTTAACAGGTGGTTCAGAAATCTTCCCACTATATACTCCTCTAAACTACTTGTTACCACCTTCCCTACCCTTCACCACCTTCCCTGTCCCTTCACCACCTTCCCTACCCTTCACTACCGTCCGTGTCCCTTCATCATCTTTCCCTACCCTTCACCACCTTCCCTGTCCCTTCACCACCTTCCCTACCCTTCACCACCTTCCCTACCCTTCACCACCTTCCCTACCCTTCACCACCTTCCCTACCCTTCACCACCTTCCCTACCCTTCACCACCTTCCCTACCCTTCACCACCTTTCCTACCATTCACCACCTTCCCTACCCTTCACCACTTTCCCTACCCTTCACCACCTTCCCTACCCTTCACCACCTTCCCTACCCTTCACCACCTTCTCTACCCTTCACCACCTTCCCTACCCTTCACCACCTTCCCTACCCTTCACCACCTTCCCTACCCTTCACCACCTTCTCTACCCTTCACCACCTTCCCTACCCTTCTTCCCTACCCATCTTCCCTACCCTTCACCACCTTTCCTACCCTTCACCACCTTCCCTACCCATCTTCCCTACCCTTCACCACCTTTCCTACCCTTCACCACCTTTCCTACCCTTCACCACCTTCCCTACCCATCTTCCCTACCCTTCACCACCTTCCCTACCCTTAATATAATTTTCAAATTTATGCCACCACTTGGGCTGGACCGTAGAGCGACGGATTCGCTTCATGCAGGTCGGCGTTCAATCCCCGACCGCCCAAGTTGTTGGGTACCATTCCTTTCCTTCTCCGTCCCATCCCAAATCTTTATCCTGACCCCTTCCAAGTGCTAAACAGTCGTAATGGCTTGGCAGTTTCCCCCCCAGATAAGTTTCCTTTCCAATTTATGCAAAGAGAGATCTATCTTGAGGTTATCTTGAGATGATTTCGGGGCTTTTTAGTGTCCCCGCGGCCCGGTCCTCGACCAGGCCTCCACCCCCAGGAAGCAGCCCGTGACAGCTGACTAACACCCAGGTACCTATTACTGCTAGGTAACAGAGACATTCAGGGTGAAAGAAACTTTGCCCATTTGTTTCTGCCTCGTGCGGGAATCGAACCCGCGCCACAGAATTACGAGTCCTGCGCGCTATCCACCAGGCTACGAGGCCCCCTATGGCCATCCCGGACCACCAAGCAGTTACCCTGCAAAGTTTTATAGTCGGATGGATCAAAGTGAAGTGAAACTGAGCCAAGCGACCTGTGAGAGGCGTGACCAGTTTCGCGGTACAAGGTGTTGGGGTCTAATCACTTGCGGCAGTGATTAGTTAAGGCCACCTGCAGTCTAATGACCAATTAGCAAGTATACCTCTCAACACGGTTTATGACTAGGGATTGATTGATGAAGATTAAGCCACCCAGCACCTGGCACGGGCATGAATAGCCCGTAAGTTGTTAAGACTAAATGTCAGCTCTGAGGGTCTATACACCGAGAAGTGAGATTGTTGTTTGTTGTGTTAGATTCAGCTACTCGGAACAAACTGTCCATGTAGCACGGGCTATGGTGAGCCCGTAATTGAGTTCGGTTATTCGCGATAACCTCGTTACTGTGATATTTGGGTCAATGTTTTAAATGAAGGTGGCGGGGTTTCCTTCTTTTCACACTGATTTAATCTTTTGTTTTAATAACATTATCTTGGTGGCGGATATAGACGTACAGTGTCCACTATAGTGTGTCCCATTTTTCAACTGCTTTTCTAACCATTGTAGTCGATAGGAATAGGAATCTGGCCCCTGGTATTTCCCGGGGGGCTGTTGTTGTTATAGATTCAGCTACTCGGAACAAAAGTTCCAAGTAGCACGGGCTATGGTGAGCCCGTAGCTTACCTGGAGAGGGGCTAGGGGGGGGGGAGCTGTTAGCGCGAATGTCCTTTATACAGAACAAGCAACTCACTTCTCCATTTACATGAATCAGCCATTAGACAAGCCTTCCGTCACGTGATCACCATATACATAAGAGGCGGTCTCCATATTTTACGGGCTATTCATGCCCGTGCCACCTCTTGGGTGGCTTAATCTTCATCCACCAATCCATCTCCATTCTGATCATGACTACACACACACACACACCAAGAGGCGCTTCCCACTCCACAGGCGCCAGTCCCCTCGTTACTATGCAACCAAATTGATTATTAACCGCGGAATTATTAATCATACAGCTCTCTCGGACGCAGGTTCGAATCCTCGTCACGGCCCTTGTGGATTTGTTTATCTCGATATATTTTCATAAAAGAATTTACCCCGGTGTCTCAAAGTTATTCCAAGCAACCAAACACTATTTAGTCTACATTAAACTGCTAAATAGTTTGTTTTAATTAATATATATATATATATATATATATATATATATATATATATATATATATATATATATATATATATATATATATATATATATATATATATATATATATATATATATATATATATATATATATATAAATACACATAGTGATAGTGGGGGTCCAAAACACAGACTAGGTGTAGTGGGGTCTATAAATATACTATAGTATATTTATAGTATATTTAAATATATTATAGTAATAATATTTATAGCAAATAAATTGGAAATTGAAAGAACACAAACCAGATTTTTCATAAATTTCCGTCTAGATATCAAGACATTCTCAGTAAACTGGTTTCTAGATATCAAGACATTCTCAGTAAACTGGTTTCTAGATATCAAGACATTCTCAGTAAACTGGTTTCTAGATAAAGATGTTCTCAGTAAACTGGTTTCTAGATAAAGATATTCTCAGTAAACTGGTTTCTAGATAAAGATATTCTCAGTAAACTGGTTTCTAGATAAAGATGTTCTCAGTAAACTGGTTTCTAGATAAAGATATTCTCAATAAACTGGTTTCTAGATATCAAGACATTCTAAGTAAACTGGTTTCTAGATATCAAGACATTCTCAGTAAACTGGTTTCTAGATAAAGATATTCTCAGTAAACTGGTTTCTAGATAAAGATATTCTCAGTAAACTGGTTTCTAGATATCAAGACATTCTCAGTAAACTGGTTTCTAGATATCAAGACATTCTCAGTAAACTGGTTTCTAGATATCAAGACATTCTCAGTAAACTGGTTTCTAGATAAAGATATTCTCAGCAAACTGGTTTCTAGATAAAAATATTCTCAGTAAACTGGTTTCTAGATAAAAATATTCTCAGTAAACTGGTTTCTAGATAAAGATATTCTCATTAAACTGGTTTCTAGATAAAGATATTCTCAGTAAACTGGTATCTAGATAAAGACATTCTCAGTAAACTGGTTTCTAGATATCAAGATATTCTCAGTAAACTGGTTTCTAGATATCAAGATATTCTCAGTAAACTGGTTTCTAGATATCAAGATATTCTCAGTAAACTGGTTTCTAGATATCAAGATATTCTCAGTAAACTGGTTTCTAGATATCAAGATATTCTCAGTAAACTGGTTTCTAGATAAAGATATTCTCATTAAACTGGTTTCTAGATAAAGATATTCTCAGTAAACTGGTATCTAGATAAAGACATTCTCAGCAAACTGGTTTCTAGATATCAAGATATTCTCAGTAAACTGGTTTCTAGATATCAAGATATTCTCAGTAAACTCGTTTCTAAGGATATTCCATCTGTCTGTAGGCCATTTAAGCGGTTTCAGCGAGGGGTTTTACCCGGGAGCCGCTGCATGCGAAATGGTTTCTTAGGCTTGAGTGGTTTCTGAACCGGTTTCCATCCTCGTGCAGGAGCGGTGTGTGGCGTGGTGGGGTTCCTGATCATTAACGTGACGGTGGTGATGGCTGTGAGGCAATACTCACACACGAGGGCACGTCGGCGCCGGCTTCTTGAACTACAGTGAGTAACTCGTCTGTTTGAGCTGGCGGTTTGCATGGTCGATCGTTGTAATGACTGAATAGTGGGGGGTTTAAAATTGTGTGTGTGTGTGTGTGTGTGTGTGTGTGTGTGTGTGTGTGTGTGTGTGTGTGTGTGTGTGTGTGTGTGTGTGTGTGTGTGTGTGTGTGCTCTGACATCCACGCAAACACACTCCATCTTCTCCTAATTTACCCTCACATTTCCCACGCACTTTCCGAAGTTGACACCACACACACACACACACACACACACACACACACACACACACCAGGGAAGAAGAGGGCACTATACATCTCTACTCTTCCCATCTAAATCTCTGCCCTTATCATTAGTGTAAATCCGTATATATATATATATATATATATATATATATATATATATATATATATATATATATATATATATATATATATATATATATATATATATATATATATATATATATATTTCCCCGTATGTCTTCATATGAACGCCATCTTGGTCTTCCTTACCGGGTGGAGGAGAGAGAGAGAGAGAGAGAGAGAGAGAGAGAGAGAGAGAGAGAGAGAGAGAGAGAGAGAGAGAGAGAGAGAGAGAGAGAGAGAGAGAGAACATAATCATCCCCTTGATTACATCAGCGCAGCATCAATACCATCATTCTGATTCATCATTCATACGCTTCTGATGAAACTAACATTAAAATGCACCGATGAGAATATTCACATTTTTAATGTTCATCCTTTTGAAACCTATTTTTCTTGTAGTTTCTTTCCGTTTAAAGGTTTTATTGTCAGTTTCTTTAATCTTTCTGCCTCCTCGTATCATTCTGGTGATTTTCACTCTCACGGCGTCTCATAGGAAAGAAAATATGCCTTATCTTCCCTAGCGCGAGCAGCCCCCTCTCTCTCCCTCTCTCTCACCCCCCTGGGGCGGTTCTCCTCCTTAGGTGATGATGGAGTGGAGAAGGAGAGGCCTCCTCTCTTTACACCTTCTACACTCCATCATCAGCGTGACTTACTCCTCGTTCCTCTGCGTCTCCTCCCTCTCTTTATTAGGTCACGTGAAGGTGCTCAGCTAAGCTGATCCAAGCTACCAATACTGTATTTCTGTAGCTACTACTCCCGCGCCTCCACAACCGCCCTTAACATTCTTACAACCTTTCGCCGACTGACCTGGCTCTCTTCTCTTCTACAACAGGTTGGAACAACACGGCGGCTACCTCTACAACTTCGAGGAACTGATGGCAGACTACAACCAGCAGATCAATGCTGGCAATTCTTAGACGAGGGTCAGAGGAATTCTACAAGCTCTACGAATGTCCTGAGAGAGTTTCGACAAGCACTTCGAGGCTCTAGGATGCTCTGTGAAACTCACGAAGTTCTAAGAGTCCTTTACAAGGCTCTATGAATCCTTTACTAAGCTCTATGAGTTCTTTACAGGCTCGTACAAGCCTAAGTAAGGCTCAAATGAGGCTTTGTGACATTTTGAGAGGCGGGATAAATCTCTACTAAGCTCCATGCTATTTTGAGAAAGCTCTTTTAGGTTTTGTGAGGTTTTGAGGCTATGAAGCATTGTGAGCTCGAGTAGGCATGAAAGTATCTTGTGTGAGTAGCCCGTGTATGTGAGATTTTTTGAGGAAACCTTGTGAGAATGTCTATAAAACCTTGTCAAATTTTGGAAATGATTTCCCTACTGCTCTGCGTGACGAAATTGAAATTGAAATAAGTTTATTGATGTAAAATACACACAAAGGGATGAGGTAGCTCAAGCTATTCTCACCCCGTTCAGTAACGTGACGAAATTGAGCGAGTGAAAGTGTGTGGTGGACTTTTTTTAATATATATAAACTCTACACGGTTCTGTATAAATAATATTTTTTTCTGAGGCCTTGAATGAACCTTAGTGGCTGACGTAGATGTTATATTTGGCTATGAATCTGCAGCCTTTTGATAGAAATCATCAGATAGACTGAAAATAAGTGAGTTTACGATGTCCTGGCGAAGGGCTCGAATATTTTGCAAGTTTCGAATAAGATTTCTAAAAGGACGAAAGGTTCTTTTTACATAGGCACATAACGTCTTAAGGGCCTCTTACAATCATCTACAAGCACACTGAACACCCTGGGATTACTTTGCGGGATTTAATACAAAGTGGTATACCTGAGTATACCTTTCTGTATTGGTGTGGGAATACAGCATATTCCCACGCCAAATATGTAATGGTTACAGACACGATTGATGTATTTTTGTAAGTCAGTTCTGATGAATGGGTCGTCAGGGGAGTCATGTGAAATGTATTAAGATCTGTTGACCAAACCACACACTAGAAAGTGAAGGGACGACGACGTTTCGGTCCGTCCTGGACCATTCTCAAGTCGATTGTGTTTGGTCAACATATTTCAGCCACGTTATTGTGACTCCTCGTCTGCATATTAAGATCTGTAGACGGCTGTGGCGTTCTCAGGCTGTGAATATGAGGAATTGCATTGTCTTTAAAGTAATATATGTACTCAGGGGGCATCAATGCAATCTGAGAATGCCTCATCGGAGCGCCCTGTAGGAATGCCAGCTTGGAATGACTTCTTGGAATGGCTACTGCGAATGATTTCTTAAGGAGTTTGTCAGAGAACGACTTGCAGGAGCGTCTGGGGTAAACGCCGTCCGGAAACATCGTCTAAGGGGGCACTTAGGGTTGGCCTTCTAGCAAGGTGTTAGAGGAACTCTTATGGTAGTTCTTGTGTGAGTTATGAACTATCTTGTCTCTTGGGAGGCTCTTTTGTTCGAGCGTCTTGGGACCAAATCTTGGAAAAAAATGTTGATATAATCTTGGAAAAGATTTTTGCAGCTCCCAACGTGTATTGTGGTGACTGATAACGTGACCACGTGACGCGTCAGTCGCCACGTGGCCACCTTAAGATAATAAGACTCTTGCACGTGCCCGAGTTCAATGGACACTTCGTAATTAAATAGTATGATGTGTGCATAATGTTAAGGTAATGATTACTGTATACAAAATACATACAAAGCAGTAATTTTTAAGGATATGTAAAGACTGACAATTTTAAGAGGGATGAAAAGATATTGAAATTCTGCAAGCGATTCCCAGCAAACCGATGCTGCTGGATTATATCAAAGAGGAAGAGTTAGAAATCAAGCGAATCAAGAGATTCTGCAGGTTTAACAAGAGATGAAACACAGCCCTTAGAGGCTCTACGAGCTCTACAAGCCAGGCTCCAAGCCTGGCTACCCCAAGACACCTGTACACACACACCTGCTCTTCAACCTCATGATCAAAACACAGTCAAATGGGGGATATATATATATTTTACGCGTGTTAGTCACATGTTTGATGAGCACTGTGTTTTGCATCACCGTGGGTTGCCCACTGTATATACCCATTCTTTGTGCCATCTCCTTTACCTCTTTCCACTGCTTTAGCATATACTTAAAGACAATAGGCTGAGTAGTGAAGCTGTAGAACTAGTCGAGTCTTGAGTCGTGTGTGTGTGGGGGGGGGGGGATATGTCTCTCTGACATTAATTTAAGCACGGGTGAAGATCAGCCTTATGATCTCATGTCGAGTTAGTTTTAAGACTTTGTTTTGGTTGGGGGGGGGGGAGTGCCTTCCTAGAGCAGGGAGGAGGGCTAGGGAGGAGAGGACCACCGGGGTAAGGCATCTTAGATGCTGTTTGGGGACCCCCGGGGATCTTCTTCGATCCCAAGCTACGGCTCCTCTTTTTTGTGGGGTACAGGTTCATTTCGTACACAATACGGTACGCCAACGGGTTTTGTTTCGCATTAAAACCAATCTTAACCCAAGTTAGTCCAAGCTAACCTAACCTAAATCAACCTAGCATAACCTATCCCAATCCAAACTTTAATCTAACCGAACCGAAAAACTCATATATATATATATCCTTCCCCCACCCAACCTACTCTATCCCAAAGATATATTGTGTGTGAATGTTAATAAAACAAGGTGTGTGTGTGTGTGTGTGTGTGTGTGTGTGTGTGTGTGTGTGTGTGTGTGTGTGTGTGTGTGTGTGTGTGTGCTGTGACCACACTCCCACTACCACACCCAAACGTTTCTCTCCCTCCTAATGGCTAATACATTGCTTTTGAGACCATCACAACACTCACCTTTCATGCCCATTTAGTAATAAAGCCAATAAAATCTAAGATAAATTTAATATTCCACTTGATGATAAATCTAATGCTTCGTTATTTGAAAACATTTCCTAATCCCTAAAATTTTGTATGAGGGATTTTTTGTTCATTGTACTTAATGGAGAATGATGGAGGAAAATGAATTTCAGGAAATTTTGTACTTGATGTATATAGAGAGAACATTTTCCAGCTTATGTAACCAACTTCTGTTCAAGAAGAACAATTTCGGGGGAAGAAAGAGTCACTTGCTGTTATGCAACCTTTACACCATTCCTATCACCACAAGTTAATTATTTCCATTTGATTTATGACAACAAAAAAAATTGTCATGCACGATGTTGGACTTTTAATTATCTGTTTAAGGTTAATGTACTTTTAGTCCCTGAATATATTTTGGTGGCCATTTGATTTGTGAATGACGAGATAAATTTCATCTTGTAATATATGCCAAGACATTTCTAGACAATATATTTCTAGACATAATTACCTTGAATAATCTAATACCGTCAAGTCTTCAGTGCTAATTCTTGCACTGAATGACGCTGGGTCAACAAAATATAACTGACGAAGATGGCTCACAAGAAGTGAGCTCACATATATATTATATATAAGTTATATATATATATATATATATATATATATATATATATATATATATATATATATATATATATATATATATATATATATATATGGCTAGAGGAAGGGGACCACTCCTCCAGCCTAACTTCCTTAAGTTAGAGTATCATAGTCAAGGCATAAAATAGATAAGAGGATCTAAGGGCAGCTCGGAGTAGATGTGGTTACTGTTCTCTGTACAATAGATCACACTTCAGCACACACGAAAGTACTCATGCATTTTTGTCCTAACTTGTGTAATAGGAAATTTGTACAGTTCTTTATGAGACGAGTTGAAAACCAAAGCCATATTACGTTAGTACAACACAAATAATCAAACATATATATATATATATATATATATATATATATATATATATATATATATATATATATATATATATATATATATATATATATATAAATAAAACGCACAACTCGAAACGAAGACTGATAGACATAATAAAAGAAATATGTGGGAGGACACATTCCAGTGGTACCTCGTAGCTACCCAGTGGTACCACGTAGCTACCCAGTGGTACCTCGTAGCTACCCAGTGGTACCTCGTAGCTACCCAGTGGTACCTCGTAGCTACCCAGTGGTAGTTACGAGCCCAAATAGTGTATATATATTGTAGGTGTATCCAAGAACCTGGAGGAAGGTGTAGAGTCAGGTGTAGGTGACCATCCTTACACATAATACAACCTCCTCCACCTCCACAACAACAACAACAACCCCCATACAACAGTTGTATTTATGGGTCAACTCCACATGCCATTAAAAAAACACACATACATATATATAGGCCTACACGTGTACATAAATATACATATAAATATATATTTTTAGAACTGTAAATATTTGGTAAATCTTGCTTGGTATACTTTAGATATAGGTTATATAACCCGGGTTCAGGGGTCATGAGATGGGGGGAAGGGGGGGGGAGGAGGGATATGATGTCCCAGGTGGGATCTGATCTTCCTCACTTTCTCCTGTGTTATCTTACATCTACTTCATCACTTTCTCTCTTGTTACTTCGTATCTACTCCGTCATTGTTTTGGTGTAGGTGTTCAACGGGTTCGTCTAATTACCCAAAGCGTCTTAGCATTACGTAGGTAATGAAGAACTATGATATATTTACTCATTATAATGTTAGTGCTGAATGTAGAACACGAAAAAAATATATAATTTTTAATCTGAAATAATATCATTTTATAATGTCGCTCGGATCGTCGACTTCCTGTGGCGTCACCTGCCATTTAGTTTCGTCTAATGTCATTATAAAATTATATTATTTCAGAGTGATTTTTTTGTTCATGTTCTACATTCAGCACCAACATTATAGTCAGTAAATATATCATAGTTCTTCCTTACCTACGTAATGCTAGGAAGCTTTGGGTAATTAGACGGAGCCCTAACAGCTGTTGTTATTGTTAAAGATTCGCTATCTGGAACAAGAAGTTCCAAGTAGCACGGGCTATGGTGAGCCCGAGCACTGTCACCTGTTCTTCACAGCCAAACTATAGTTCTGTTGAAGTCGTTACGTCTAAATTCTCACGAGTTATGAGAAAATGTTCTCTCTGCGTGTCCCAGTCTGGTAGCTTAAATGTCCAGTGTTCCAATTTCATTTCACCAATTTCCTTTCCCTGTGACCCCAATTTTTTTCCAACTGCCACGTCCATGTTCCGAATCAAATTGAGCAAACAACAGTGTCGTGAAT